CTTTGATAATTAATGATAATCGTTCTTTTCAAAAAAAGAATAAATTATGAGGATGTTTAATTTTGTATATGATTATAGTTGTGTTTATTGATTTAAAAAATTATAATATAATTTCCATATTTTAATTAAATATTATAAACTTAGTATAACAAATTAATTGCAGACATCAATTAGTGAACTCCTTGTACATTAAACACAAATAGTTTGAAAACAAAAACAAAAACATCTTAGATATTTTTTTAATAAAAATTCATATATTTTATAAATTAAATAATATATATACATTAATTATAATATAATTTTTTAACTAGTGGACTTTCAAATAAAACACAATCTAATATCAATCTATAATTTCTTTTAAAGAAAAAAAAAATACAAGCTATCTAATTATCTTTGAATTTCAGCAATTTATAAGTTTTCTAAATGTAAGTCTCTAATTCTTTTAAATATGCGCCATGGCAGTACTCAGGCTAATCTTGAAGTGATTTAAGGTACATATTTTATTTTTAAAAATCTTACTAATGTATTGATTGATTGATTACATACTTTTGCATCACAATTGAACAGATATTTTGATTAAAATTAAATTTTAAAGATTTAACGTGAATCTTTGATAAAAGTTTTACATAATCATTTTTAAGAAATAAAAAATCATTTTGTATTTGAATAATAATTTCAATATTGTTTAGTTTATTTGACTGAATTGTAATATTTATTTGAAGTACAAAAAATATATTATATATTTTAAATTAATAAACTCAATTATTTAAGTAATAAAGAGTTAATATAATGTTTGCAAAAAACAAATACAATTACTATTAATTAACTCGTAAATTTTTTTAAATAAAATCGTTTTATAATTCTAATTAAAAGATTAATTACTTCTATCTAATTATTATGTACATTTGATTTTGAGTCCATTTGCCTGCCACCTCAACCCTGAAAATGACATTAATCATCATAATTTAATTCGATTATTACGATAGTTACTTCCAATTTTAGCGGAGCTCAAATGCTTCCCTCAATCAACCCTCGTTGTTCTCAGCACAAACTAACATTATAATTGGACAAATTTTAAATATGTTATTAATTAATTCTTTTATTTTCTCCATATATATATATATATATATATCACTTTCTGCATCTTTGACTTATTATTGCATGTTAGAAAGGAGAAGAAAGAGCAGCATGATGAACAAGAAAATTACTTTGATTTTCTGATAGTATTCATTGTTAGCCAAAGAAAATATATACAGCTTTTGTTGTATAATGGCAGAGAGAAAAAACAAAAATGGTTACAACTAACATACTAATTTCATCTTATCACTAATTAATCTTAATATCTTCTAATTAATCTTAATACTCCCCCTCAAGATGGAGAATACAAATTTATTGTACCCATTTTGTTTAATAAATTGTCGAACTGTGTAGGATGAAACACTTTTGTCATTAAATCTGCCAGTTGATTCCGAGTGGATATATGCATCGTCTTCAAGGTACCATCTTAAATTATTTCATGGATAAAATGGCAGTCAAGTTCAATATATTTTGTTCTCTCATGATATACTGGATTTGAAGCAATGTGTAGAACTGCCTGATTATCACAGTAAAGTAATGCAAGACCTTGATTTTGCACCTTTAAATCTCGCAACAATTTCAGAATCCACACTATTTCACATGTAGTGTTGCCATGGAACGATACTCCGCTTTTGCAGATGACCGATATACAACTTGCTATTTTTTTTATTTCCATAAGACTAATGAAGACCTAAGAAAAATACAATAACCAGTTAGAGATCTTCTAGTGTCAAGACATGTGCCCCAATCAGCATCAGAAAAATCCTTAATCTAAATGGCAGATGATGAAGAAAGAAGAGACTCTGTCCAGGTGTTCTCTTGATGTACTGAAGAATCCGCAAAGCAGCCTGAAGATGACTGGTCCTGGGAGCAGTTAAGAACTGACTCAGTTTATTGACAGAATAACATATATCAGGACGAGCGATGGTCAAGTACAACAATTTTCCAATCAGTCGCCGATAACTAGTGATATCACGCAGAGGTTCTCCATCGTCTTTGGATATCCTTTGATTTGGTTCCATGGGAGTAGATGAGGGCTTACAATCAAGGTACCCAGTTTCAGTTAACATATCCAAAGCATATTTTCTCTGACATAAAGTGATTCCTGTGTCATTTCTTGTAATTTCAAGTTCAAGAAAGTATCGGAGAGTTCCCAAATCTTTCATCTTAAATTTCTGTTTTAGTGCAACTTTGAGTTCATTGATGGCACGATTATCATTGCAAGCAATGACAATATCATCAACATATACCAACAATACTAGAAAAATATTACCCTTATGCTTGACAAATAATGAGTGGTCACATTGTGATTGATGGAAACCTTCTTGAAGTAATACTTGTGAGAACTTGTGAAACCACTATCGGGAAGCCTGTCTCAACCCATAGATTGACTTGTGTAGTCGGCAAACAGGTTGATGTGGAAGAGTCTCCCCCCCTCGAGGAGAATAACCTGGAGGAATATTCATATAAACTTCTTCGTGAAGGTCACCATGAAGGAAAGCATTAGTGACGTCTAACTGAGTCAGACTCCAACCATGAATAGCAGCCAGTGAAAACAAAATTTTTACAGCAACCAATTTTACAACAGGAGAGAAAGTGTCAATGAAATCAACGCCAAATTGTTGTGTGTAGCCCTTAGCAACCAGACGGGCTTTGTGTCTCTCTACTGTCCCATCGGCTTGATATTTAACTTTACAAACCTACTTACAATCAACACTTTTCTTCCCAGGTAGAAGAGAAATAATAGACCAAGTATTATTGTTCTCTAAAGCACGTAGCTCCACATTCATAGTGGTCATCCAAACATCGGACTGGGTAGCCTCAAAGAAGGTGGTAGGCTCAGTGTGGGAAGAAATAGCACAAATAAAGTTGTGATATTGAGGTGTAAGCTTTGTATAAGTAAGGAAGAAGGAAATGGGGTAAAGTGCATGTGTATCTGTATGGTAGCAGTGATAGTCAGACAAATGAAAAGGTGGTCGTGTTACACGCAGAGGGCGAGATGGTAGTGTTTGGGAAGAGTCATGCTATGAGTGGGTAGGTGTATTAAGAGAAGCTGGTGATTGTGTAGGTGTCTAAAGAGGAAGAGGTAAAACACGGTCATGAAAAAGGTCATTGTGAATGGGACTAGGTGAGTGAGATGAAAGAAATGGAAAGATATGTTCATGAAAAATGACGTTTCGAGGGATGATGATTTGATTGCTCTTGATGTCGAGAAGTTTATATCCTTTGTAACCCGAATGATAACCGAGGAAGACACAAGCCCTAGAACGAGGCGAAAACTTATGACGATGACTATTGAAAGTGGAACAGTAGCATAGACAACCAAAGGTACGCAAATAATCATAGGACAGTTTTTTGTGAGTTAATAATTCAAATGGAGTTTTATTAGATAACAAGGGGGAAGGTGTACGGTTGATCAGGTAAACAGCAGTCAAAATGCAATCGCCCCAATAAACAATGGGGACATGGGATTGAAACAGTAAGACACGTGCCACATTTAAAATGTGTTGATATTTGCGTTCGACAATAGAATTTTGTTGGGGAGTCTCAACACAAGAATGATAAGAAACAATGCCTTTTAACATGAAAAATGAATGAAAATTTAACTCATACGCATTGTCAGATATCACAGATTTAATGGGAGTTTTATATTGTCTAAGGATGAGAGTATAAAAGTCAGAAAAAATGATAAAAACATCCGACTTTTGACGAAAAAGATACACCCAAGTAGTGCGAGTGCAATCATAAACAATTATAAGAAAGTATTTGTATCCCTCGATAGTGGGTGTAGAAAAAGGACCTTAAATGTCAATATAGATTAAATCAAATGGATGATCAGATAATTTATTATTAGAAACAAAAGACAATTTACGTTGTTTAGCCAAATGACAAATTTTGCAATGAGAAATATTCGAAATTTGTAAATCTTTATTAATGTACTGAAGTTTTACATAGGAAGATGACCAATTCTAAAGTGCCATAGGCTACTTTTAGAGTTAGCGAAAACAGAATTAACAGCGAAAAAATGAAAATATCTAGTAATTAAGTAGTAGAGGTTGCCAATGCGTCTACCCTTCCCAATCAACAAGTCCCGAGTGTGGTCATGGATGACACAAGAATGAAGAGAAAAATTAACCGTACAGTTGTGGGTGATGGTCAACATGCTTACACTGACAAGGTTAAAGGAAAAATAAAGGACAAATAGAACATCATGTAGAGTTAGGGTGTCGGTGAGGAGTACATTTCTAAGTTGAGTGACTAGCATTGAACTACCATTTGGTAAAGTGATTGGGATGGGTTCAACATGCTTAAAAGTTGTGAAAAGGGTGGGTGTGCAACATATATGATGTGTGGCTCCATAGTCAATAATCCAGCATTTAGAGGTAAGTGTGTGTGTGAAACTGGAAAGGTAGAATGGTTTGAATGATATACCTGCCGCGTGAAGATCAGAAGTGGCGTGATTGGTGGGGTGAGAGAAGCTGTCCGGCGAGATGGTGGAGTGCAGTTGGTGGAGCCGTGCGCTTAAGTGGGCAATAATATTTTGAATTTTTGATGTGTTCAGAGCATCGACCGAGGCAGCGGAATCAAGTGTTGGTAAGCAGGCAACAGTGGAGGTGAAGTTTGGCGCCTGTCGCGCAGTCAGGTGGGTACCCGAGGAAGAAGAAGACCTGTGTTCTGGAAAAGCCTCTTCGTGGGCCAAGGCTTGGTGGGCAGAAGAAAAACTGGACCTGGACTAAGAGCCAGTTGAATTAAATGATCTGGTTCCAAGAGTGGGCCGAGACTGAGTTGACGCATTGCGGGCTTAGGCTTGGGCTTGGACGTGTCCATCATTAAAAATAGGTGAGTGCATTTTGGGCTTGGGCTTGAGGCCCGGTGGGTACCCATGTAGGCGGTAACACCTGTCCACAGTGTGAACAGACATGTCATTTTCGACTTTGAGTTAGGGCAACGGAAGAACCAGACCCTTGAGCCGTCTTTGCGCACGCGTTGAAGTCGATTGCACGGTGCCGTTCTTCTTGCACCACCAGCGAGAAAGCCTTCAAAATGGATGGAGAACATTCCATCATCAGGATTTGAGCCATAACAGCAACGTAGGAAGGATTCAAACCCATTAAAAAAGTCATGACAGACTCCTGCTCCTGATAATCATTCCATGCCTTCATGTTTCCACAATGACAGGTTGGAGCTGGTTGGTAAGTTTTGAGTTCGTCCCAGATTGTTTTCATCCGCGTATAATAGATGTGGATGCTGAATGACCCTTGAGCAAGGTTATTCATGCTCTGTTTCAGTTGGTATATACGCGGTGCATTCCTATGCTAATAACGAAGTCGCAAATCGGTCTAGATAGATTGTGCATTTTCATGGTATAACAAACTATCAGTTATCTCCTTTGTTATAGCATTCAACAACCAAGAAGTTACCATGCTATTACAACGTGACCAAGCTGCGACAGTGGAATCAGTGTTGCTCGGTTGATCGTAGGTTCCGTCTATGAAACCCAATTTATTTTTGGCGTTCAATGCTATTCTGATTGCTCTCTCACATGTGTTGTAATTATTGCCATTGAGAAGGTTGGATACTAAGACCAAACCGGGATGGTCAGCACTGTGAAGGAAGAACAGGTTTTGGGAATCATTTGATTGCTCTCTAGCCATTAAAGATTAAATTTTGAAGCTCAATCACTGAGTTAAAAAAATGTTTGATTAATTAATCTGCTCTGATATCATGTTAGAAAGGAGAAGAGAGAGCAACATGATGGAGAAGAAAATTACTCTGATTTTCTGATAGTATTCATTGACAGCCAAAGAAATATATACAAATTTTGTTGTACAATGGCAAAGAGAAAAAAACAAAAACGGTTACAATTAACATACTAATTTCATTTTATCACTAATTAATTTTAATATCTTCTAATTAATCTTAATATTGCACCAACAATAATCAAATGTATAATTAGAATAAAATAATTAGAACTAACAATCGATTGATTGTAATTAGTTAATTTGAGAAACATATGTTGTAGAAAAAACTTCGATAGATAACTAATTTATGTATGATGTTAGGAATATGATCTTAAGTCATTAATAATTAACAAATAAACAATGCGAAAACAAACTTGAATTCATTATCGCTCAAGAGATAGTTGATAGTGCAATGACTCTAATTATCCCGGAGTCCGAAAGTCATACGACGATGAATACATTCCGTGTACGAATTTAATAAAAAATAAATTACAAAGTTTACCTTAAATGAACTGCGATATTGAGGGAGAAAAAAAAAATTCAAAATTTGGAAAATAATAATTAAATATTAATTTATTTTAACCTTGAAAAATACAAATTTCTCCAAGAAATAATTTTTAAAATTCAAAATATTACAAAAAAAAAAAATTACATAGAGATAGAATTGAAAAAGATTTAAGAAATTGAAAAAAAAAATTGTAATTTAAAAAGGATTAAAATAAAGAAGATTTTCCAAAACTTGGAGAAAACTAATTTTTTGAGATGTTCCGAAGAAACAATCGAGAACGGGCACATGGAAGGAAATTTGAACCAACAACCAAGATCAAGCTACGTGGATATGAGTGACAGATCAGACACACGAGATTTCGCATAGTTAGACGGTCTAGATCTCGCCAAAGATGAAACACGAAGAAAGATCAAATAATGAAGATTCATTCCACCCGAAAGCCCTATGAATTTACCAAAATACTCTTAATGAAATTCTAGAACGAACGACTCAGATTTAATCTCTAAGATCCAACTGTCTGCAGCCTTTCTTATTCCATATAAATACTTATCCTTTGCCAAAAAAAAAAATTCTAAAGAGAGAAAGGGTTTCGGCAAGAGAGAATTAGAGAGAGAGAGAGTTCGAGAGGGAACCGGTTGTGGGAGAGAAGGGAGTGCGTGAGTGAGAGAGGATCTAATAATTTATACTAAATTATCATTATAGAAGGATCTAATAATTTATATTAAATTATAAAATAGGATCATAAATTTTTATAAAAACAATAAGATAATTTTTTTATTTATTATTAAACAATAATTTTTTATTTTTCTAAACTGAGTACTATGTTAAATAGACTACTGAGTATATTCATGTGAGTAAGAATATGGAGAGAGAAATCTCTTACTAAAAATATATCATTCTCTATGTGATAATCTAGGAAATTTACCAGGCCTTATTGAAGCTTTTGAAACCTGTGAATCATGCAAATGAGCTCAATATTGTTTTAATATGCATCAATTACTAACCATGAAAATTTGTGCAGTTGGCCAATAGGAAATTCTTTAAAAAATCCAGAATGTGTTGTATTGTGGAATGAAATATGCAACTTTGAAGTAATCTGCTCTATTGGAGAATTGGTCTAAGACCAATCCTTAGACATATTCACGAATATCTATATATATATATATATATATATGCCTATATACATGTTTTAAACTATCTATTAAACTATACGTATATATTTATTAAATTAATATACATGTATCTAAATATAATAATTATAAAAATAATTAATTTTTGTTTGATATACTACTTATTTGTATTATTTATTTAATAAATTTTTATCTCTTTATATATTTTTAAGATGTTTATAGACGAAAAATGTTATACTTACTCTATAAATATAAATATATGCTTGTTTCTCTCCAACTAATATTTTCTTTTTCAAATTTTATATTATTTTTTAAAATTTTTCTTCTGTAGGTAGAAATTAATATTTCTAAACTTAAAGAAACTATAACCTAATTAATTAGTGATAAAAGTGGAATTAAAAAAAAAAGAAAGAAGATTATAGAAAAATAAGCATAATATGACTATTACATTCTATAAAAATGATTACATGACAATTAACTTTTCCATTTGCTTATTGATTTTGTTATGGTAAAATATTAACTAATTTACACGTGTGGTGGAGTGGAACTAGGTGGTGTTGCCACTGACACAACTCTTCTTCCTCTTTCCGACCTACTGTTCTCTGCAAATTTCAAGCTTCCATGGTGCAATCCCTTTTGCTTCTCTTCCTCATTCCATTCAGACCCATAGTAATACTCTTCACTACCTTTCACCTTGTCCTTTGTAGCCGGCAAAAACATGCTCCCCCACTGAGGAAAATGCACCACAGTAACCGGCAACGTACACGCCACAATCGTTATCCCCATCAGATAAATCCCTGTCGCAGTTGAGTACCTGGAACTTGTGAAGAACAACAGCTGTGTCAGCCCTGATCCCAAGTTTCCTCCGGCGCCGGTGAGCCCGGAAATGACTCCGAGTGAGCGCCGAGAAATGAAAGGGATGATCCCGAAGGTGGCGCCACAGGCAGCCTGTGCTCCGATGGAGAAGAGGATCATGAAAAAGATAGAGAGCAGGAGAGAGCTTGCTCGGCCCAGACAGATACAGAAGACGCCTCCTAGTGTTTGCAGAATGTAGAGGTTCCATAGACGGCCTCTCATCCCGAAACGACGGGCTGCCATGTCTGACATTAGCCCGCCAAGTGGACGAGCGAAGAGATTCGCCATTCCAAAAGTGGCAGCTATGGTGCCGGCCGAGTGCAGGTTGAGATTAAACCTAATAAACAATAAATTAATATCTATATAATAGAAATAGAAAACAAACTCTAAAGGAGCAAGTACTGGTGGATTATTAAATTTTATAGAAGGGTTTGTGTGTGTGTGTGTATATAAATATATATATATATATGCATAGAGCAAGATGATATTTACACCTGTCAAAGAAGTACTCTGCAATCACATTATCTGTTGTTAATTCTACACCCAATGACATTCCATAAAGGAGAACAAATACCCATGTCCTATAATTTGTGATTGCATACCGAAGTACCTGAAAAAATCAAAAGCAAGTTGTGCATATATATATATATATATATATTAAAAGGGATCAGAATTGATTAAAGAATGTGAGTTTTGAGGATTAGAGAAATTACATGCCTTGAAGAAGTTATCTTTCGGCACATCTCCTGTCTTCTGCAAGGAATTAAGATTACCATCAGGCAAATCTTGACCAAGAGTCAACACCAAAATCCCCATAACAACATGTAGCCATCCCGGAACAAAGAAAGCAATCCTCCATGCCGTAAATGGTGTAGACCCACAACGTCTAATCGCTTCATAAATCAACGGCATAAGCAACTGCGTCACCCCACCACCCATATTTCCCCACCCAGCCGCCGTCCCATTCACCAGCCCGACAATCTTCCCGTTAAACATAGTACTCATCCAGTACTGACAAGACACAAATGTTGCGAGAGAAAATCCAATCATGAACCTCACCGCCACGTACCCACCGGCCGACGACACAAACGGCATGCAAAACACCGTCGGAGCCGATAACATGACAAGAAATGAGCAACCGTAACGCGGACCCAGCATGTCACAGACGGCGCCCATAACGAGTCTGGAGAAGATACAGCCGGAAACAGAGGCGATTCCGGCGTTGCCGATGTCGCTTTTTTTGAGGTTGAGGTTGTCTCTAATGATGGGGACAAGAGGAGCGGCTGCGAATGTGGAGATGAAGCAAGTGAAGAAGGAGAGCCAGGAGAGATGAAAGGTGACCATGTGAGGTTTGGCTAAAGAGAAGAGCTTGAAGACTTTTGATTTGTGCTCGGAATCCACGGGGAGGGAGAATTTTGCAGTTGGGTCTGATGGGATTGAAGGAGAAGTTACAGAGAAAGCAAAGGCTTCTTCTTTAGCTGAAACTCCATGCATGGAGCTTCCTGGTTCGTTCTCTATGTCAGTGGTAGTGTTAGGCATTGTTGATGCAATCAGGTTAACTCACATCAAAGTTAACATGAACAAAACAGAAAGAGCATTTATAGAAAATGGAAATCAATTTTTAACAGTATATCTTATTATTACAATATTTGTATATTTATATAAATTTTTATTAATTAAGTGACAGTTATAAATCATTATACAATATATTTCTACAAATAAGCAAACACCAAATATACATTTCTTATAATGACACAGAAATCATTATGATATTAGCTTTGTTACCCTTTGGAGTATTGATAGAGGTCTTTCTTTAAATAAATTGATGAAAGAATGTAGGACATCACACCACAAGAGTTGTTTTTTTTTTATATATGAATGTGAGTTAAAATTATATGATCCAAGTTAATTAATTATTAGCTCAAATTTGCATGCATCTATTTGTTGCTTCTGTCAAGAGACTACTTCAATGATTTAACATTAATATCATTATATTTTCTTTTTTTACTTTTGGAATATGCTGATTTTGGTTATATTGGCTGCCGCTTTATGGTCACATAATTCCAACTATATATGCTTATATTTCTTTTATTTAATTATTTTCCCATCTAATTAATGAACATATTTTATTATTTCTTGTTTATTTCCTTAAATTTCTTTTTCTTTTTCTTTTTCTTTTTCTTTCTAGTTTGTAGTGAATGAAAATGATTAGTTATTTACTTGCAGGTCCAATTGCTTTTCCAAACAAATAATTTAAAAGTTTCATTGTTGGCTTCTTATTTTTAGGTAGAAATTATAAAAATAAAAAGCCCAAATCAATTTAGAAATTTGCCCATTATTTTTTCTTTAAACTACTAATCAGACAGCAGACTTAGTTTAGATCCTAAATTCCCTTCTTTAGAATAAATTTAATTCCTTAATTTACTTTTGGATTGAAAGTTAATAAATTTTATCACTCTTAATTATCAATATTCACCTTGTCTCTAAGATAAAAGTTAAAAAATTTTCAATCGAAATATTATCGATTCAAATTTTTCTCACTATCGAAAATATTATCTTCTTCAAAATAATGAGACTAGCACCCACAACCATTTACTTTGGTAAACATCGTGAATCCGAATAATTTTAGGAACTTAAATGATAAATTTTCCTAAATTTAATTCCTTAATTTGGTGATATTGAAATAATTTCAGAGACTAAGATAATACAAAATAACTACTGTATGTATTAAATACCTATGTTATTTAATCACCCAATTCAATAACTAAACCAAAAGTCGGGCTCTTTCAAATTTGATTATCGTATCTGTTAGTCAACCCTCAATACAAGTACTCTACCATGCATTGATTGGTGCTGTTCAGAAAAATTTAAAAGAAAAAAATTAACCAGAGAAAATAAGATTTGACTTATTACATCAAAATATTTTAATGATATTATAACTGGACAGTTGTGGATTAGTCCATGATCTCCAAATCTGCAGAAACGAAACACCAACTTCAATCTTCCAGTTATTTTGCAGACGAAGGACAACATAAACCAAAGGCTCAAGATGTAAAAAAAACACAGACCTAAATGAGCAAATCTGAATATGCACCAAGTCCATGGCTGTTCATACACTGCTTCAGCCTATACAGTGCCCTGCTCTCCAATTGCCTCACTCTTTCCTTGGATAATCCAAAGATTTCACCAATTTCAGATAATGACTTCTGTTTCCCATCTTCAATGCCGAATCTCAGTTTGATAATCCGCCTCTCTTTCGGGCTGAGAACACCAAGAAGGTTGCGCACGTGCTGCCTCATCAGCTGCTTTCCCACGCTCACATCTGGTATCTCAATCCCCATGTCTGCAGTTACCTCCTGCAAGCGTTACAAGAATAACCATAATTCTCTGTAGTGTTTGCATCTGAAAATATTAACTCTAGGTCGGTGAACAATGAAATTTCTGAGCAGTAAGAACCAAGAAACAGGTCTCTAAATATATCAGATGCCAGAAAACAGAACACAACCTCTACCTGAATGTGCATAATTTTGAAATCCAAACAAATTGGTTTGGGATCCTTTTTATCTGGATAAGAAAAAAAGCAGTACCTGAAAGGTGGTTTCTTGGTCTGCCCAAACAGCTTGTTGCATAGAAAGTGGCATTCTTGTGCTGAACAGCAACTTTTCCAACTTATCAACTGTGATTCCAACACGTCTCGCCAATTCTTCTTTTGTTGGATAATGACTTCCTTCTCTAACGCATGATCTCTTTGCCTCCATTAACTTGCCCAGGAGGCTATATACATTCTCCTGAAAATAATAAGTTGGTTCTGAAAAAGGCATTACTATGCTGCTTACTTGTAATATATGATGAATATAAACATGTTCAGAATTTAATAGTCCCTTTCCAATATCAACTGACTCTATGGAAAAGGCAATTTAGAAAGGTGGGTTCCCAAAAGGAATAAAAGAATACAAAAAAGATAAATGATCATCAAAAGAAAGTAAGCCAATCGAAATTACCGGTAAGCGGACCGTCCTGGAATGTTGAAATATAGCTTTCCTAATTGATTGCCTTATCCACCAGTAGGCATAAGTAGCAAATCGACAACCACATCGGGGTTTGAACTTCTCAACACTCTTCGTAAGACCCATGCCTCCCTCCTGAACAAAAACGAAGACAGGAAAAGATTAAAGAGAACTTCTCATTGAAGTTGAAACAATCAGAACCTAGTGGCCTGTCACGTGGGGCTCATAAGAAACAAAGACATAGCAAAAAATGTAAACAGCTCAGCCTATCAAGGCACAACATAAAAGAAAATAGCAAAGCAGAATTGGGCGTTGTGCACTTTTGCTAGTCCAGCTGAAGACTTCACAAAGGAGAAAAAGACAAGGCTGTGGTAACCAAAATGTGCCACCGAAAAACTTTTAAGCAACACTTGATTTGATAAATCAATTTCAAGTGAAGAAATTGTCAAACCAATCAGCAGTCACATTTTATTAGTTTAGTCAATAATAGCAGTAACACTGATCTCAGTGCACACAGTTAATAGCTTACTGCCTCTGACCACCTATTACTTTTCTACTTTGCATTTGTGGTTAAAGATGAGTTGTGATAAGATCCGAAGATCACAAAGGAAGGTCAAACAGAATCTGTGATACTTGGATAACTGATCACCCCAGCTGCTCTGCACAGGCTGCAACTAACAGAGGAAGAAGTCTACCCAAAAATCACGGACAAGCTGCTATCCACTCCAGAATTTCAGCACTGGCATTTGTTTTTTAAAATTCCTTTTGATTTATTTGTATCTTCTGTTCTTATCTAAAATTATCCAGTTAATTGTACTCATGCTTATTTAAAGGTCTCGACATTCATCAATAAAGCAGTCAAGAAATTCAAAACTTTTTCTGGCCTTTTCTCACCTAAAATAGAAAACTAAACCTGCGTGTGAAGTTCTGACTGAGACGTATTAGTGGTATAAGAGCTTGGCTAAAATGACGTCTAACAAAAAACGTATTGAGAACCTCGAAACTGGTCTCGGTACTTTACAAGACCAAGTTAGTCGAATGGAGAGTGGCACGGCTAATAAACTCCAAGCCATTGAAGAAAATCTCCAACGATTGACGGAAGCAATCGTCTCCTTACAGGAAGGCTTCAGTAACCACCGGGCATCGCTCATCAATCCATCACACCCCGACCCTACAATCGACGATGTCGAGCGGCCCTTCTTCCCAAGAACAACCGGAGTTCCCCACCTTTTCTGGTGGAGACCAAACCGAGTGGCTGAGTCGAGCCAATTAGTACTTCGACTTTCAAGGAATTGTCGCACCGCATCGGGTGGCTTTGGCATCCTACCACCTGGAGGGCGAGGCCAACCAATGATGGCAGTGGGTGAATCGCACCTACAAAAATGAAAAAAGAGAGATCTCTTGAACCGGGTTCGTGGAAGAATTATGGGGTTAGGACCAACGGACTTTGAAGACCCAAACGAGGCCCTGACCCGTATCCGACAGACGGGGCCCTTACGCGACTACCAACGGGACTTTGAGCGGTTGGGCAATAGGGTCCATTGATGGACTCAACGGGCGTTAGTTGGGGCCTTCATGGGTGGGCTCAAACTAGAGATTGCAGACAATATCCGCATGTTCCAGCCGAGAACACTGAAGGACGCTATTGGATTGGCCTGTGTTCGAGAAGAACAAGTGGGTCGGCAAAATAGATTAAACCGAGCGAGGCGAGTACAACTCATTTTGTCTTTACCCGATCAAGCCTCCTATACCCTAGTTCCCGCCACCGCCGCCGCCGCCCCGAAGCGTCTCTCTTGAGAAAAAATGCAGCGTTAGCGAATCCAGAGCTTATGTTTTAATTGTGATGAACAATTCACCGCGGGCCACCGGTGCCAAAAACCACAATTGCTCTTGCTCGAAGGAGGACAGAGCGAAGACGAAGAGGCAGAAGTTGGCAAACCCGAAATCTCACTACATACCTTCACTGGTTGGGCTACTACCCGCACCATGAGAGTCGAGGCCACAATCCGACAACAAACTGTTATTGTCCTCATCAATAGCAGGTCAACACACAATTTTATTAATGAAAAAGTGGCCAGTTGGCTGAGGCTTCCCGTAACACCCATAAAACCTTTCTTTGTCAAAATAACATATGGGAGTCCCATGCGGTGCCAGGGACGATTCGGTGGTGTACTAATGCACATCCAAGGTATCTCTTTTCTCCTTACTTTGTTTTCCTTACCTCTAACGGGTCTCGATGTCGTCTTAGGAGTGCAGTGGCTAGAATCACTGAATCCAGTCGCCTGCAACTGGAAGGACCTTACCACGGCCTTCCACTGGAACAATCAATCGCGGCTCTTGTGCGGCCTAGGTGCACCACCCATCCAACCTGCAAT